TTTTTTTTTTTAGAGTCACCCCTCTGCAATATATTTTGTTTCCGAGCAACCCTCGTTTAATTGATTCATATACACAATTTGTTTTTGTACTAATTAATAAGTTGTTAGAAAATTAATCTCATTAAAAGGATCATAATGGTCAAAACTTTTAAATTCTTAAAAGTAACCTTAGCTACTTTCTTCGGATGTAATCTAACGGCGGTCCACTTCACTTATATATTATATATATTTTCCTAAAGATAACTTATTATATAGTAATCCCTCACATAGTCTAAATATATGGTAATTTTTTTAAATATATGGTAACTACCCACAAAACTGCTAATTCAAAAATTATTCCTTGTGAACCACTGTTTAATATGATGTTTATTATTAGCTGCGTGAGTTCATTAAGTAGCTCATAATTTATAAGTTTTTTTTTCATTTGCTTCAAATTATGTGTATTCACCAAAATACTTTGGTTTAGAGTTAATCCTAATGGTTCAACCCATAATATTTGTTTTCATTTTCTTCGTTCAACAATTATTTGTTGGGAACAATACATTCTAGACATCAAGTTTTACATATACTTTACAACATGGTGGTAGTTATAATTTTCAACTGTGAGATGTTTTTTTCGATATATAAAATTTAAAGAATCAGTACATATCTTGTTATTCTCTTCTAGAATATTTACGTTGTGTGATTCATCTCAATTTATTGAGCCACCTTGTATTTCAATATTAAGCATTAATAAGTCTTTGGTGGTGTGTACAATTTTGAGACAGCTAATTATCTTTTGAGAGTCTCAGCACAACAAATTTGGTCTGAAATTAATCGAAATCAACTTCGAGGATAATTGTGAGTTATCCATTTTCCTCAAGCTGGCACCGGCAACTAAGTTCATGTCTAGATTCTTTTATTCCACTTTTTTTCTTTCATATTTACATTCTTTATACGTACCAACTATTAACGTTTTAAATCCGACTCTAATAGTTGAAATTTTCAACTGTGACTATGTGTTTTTGGTTTTTTTACTAACTCTTACACATGTTATGAACATGTAATATAATATATTCTTTCTCATAATTATCAATATAACATGATCGCACTAGTCGTCATGGGTAATTGTGGATTATGACTTAGGCTCGTTTGGTGAGTTTTGACTTAAGCTCGTTTGTTGCAGATGAACGTATAGGAAATTAAACGGTGAGCATGGGTTATGAATAGGAAACATATTCCTCGGCCATCATCGTCGATGATTCAGATCCATTGCTAGATACACGACTTTCCCGTTGCCCCATGGGAAGGAGACATAGAGTTGGATACGAAGATAAGAGAATTTTGATGTATTGAGACAAAGTTTTCCCATCATCATCTCCTTCGGTTTTGCTAAC